CGGCGGGGGCCCCCGAAAGAGAAGAGGGAGCGAGTGGATCCGCCGGGCCCCTCGCGAGGGCGCCGGGCCCCGGGCGGGCGGAGCCGGGCAGCTCCTCTCCCCCTCCCCAGCTGTTGTCCCCCCCAGCTGGGGGCGGGGCTGGACCACCTGCTGTGGGGCGGCAGGCCCCGCGTGGAGAAAGAAGAAAGGAAGGGATTCTACACTGCCCCAGCCTGGAGTCGCCATCCCCCGAACACTCCTCTCCGGGGCACCTGCCTGCCCTCTCTGATCCTGTTTCCTCCTCGCCCCCTCCCCGCTAATAGGAAACAGCCTCTTCCCAAGGAAACCGAGGCACAGTGAGGGCAGGTCCGAGGGACTCCACCTGGGCTGGCCTCACTCTCACTCTGGGAGGGCAACCAGGTGCGGGCTCTGACCTGGGGGCTGCAGGAGGGGACAAGATGGCCAGGCGTCCGTGCCACACTACTGCAGCACTGGCGGGCAGCCAGGCCTGAGGGCCGGACGCGGGAGACAAGCTCCCATGTCCTGCAGGTCAGTCGCAGGAGAGGCCCGCACAGACTCATCGGGCATGCGGCCCACCCGTGTCCCAGCCCTGCCCCGGGGGGCTGAGATCATGAGAGGAGTTCTGGGCCAGAGGCCGGCTTGGCCGGCGAGGAGCTGGCCCTGGGTTGCCGCCCTGCCTGGGGAGAGGCACAACCGCCCAGAACGCCTCCCTTGCCCTCCAGCCTGGGGGAAGGTGTTGCTTCCCCCCCATTCTCCCCTAAGCAGCCACCACAGAGCTCTGGCGGCCCAGGGCCAGGGCCACAAAACTCCTGCCCCATATCCTGCTCGCAGAGACCTCTGGTCCTCACCACCCGGCAGCATCCATGCGGCCGGAGTGAGTTATTCATCACTAACGTGCGTCACCCCCATCTGGGTTGTGTGTGGGACACAGATGCCACATGCACCCTCGCACACTCACGCATTAGCTCCCTCCCAAAGGCCCAGATAGCATTTTGGGCAAAGGTTTCCATCCTGCAGAAGGGGCATGGGTGCCCTGGAGTCTCCAGACTCTGGATGGGCCCTCCTCTTTGAAGCCGAGGGAGGGGTGTCCTGAGCAGAATTGCTGCCTGCTGTCCTTGTCTTGCCTTGGGCGGGGGAGTGGGTGACTGGGTGCAGCTCACTGCCAGGTGGCAGGACCTCTGAGATGGACCGCTGCCCGGGCGCTGGGAGTGGGGACCCATGAAGCAGGGTCATGTTGTGGGAAGGGCCGCTGTTGTCCTGGTTGTGACACGACCCACTGTACGGCCACGCACGAGTCCCTGTCCTCTCTGGTTCTCTTGGAAAGAGGAGGGGACTGGGCCCGGCCATATCTCGGTTACTTAAGGCCTTTCTAGCTGTGACGTCCTGAGAGTGTGATTGTCCCGAGGGGTCTCCCCTCTGCCCCTCGCCCCGGCTGACCCCGGGGTCTCCTGGAGTGGCCACGTTCCAGCTCCCACCTCACGTGAGTCCAGTTTCTCTAGCCTGTGTGGTTCCCAAGAGCTTGTTGTCAATAGCACACATCCCTCCGGTGCGCTGTGCTGGACATCCGGGAGGCAGGCTGGGCTGATCGGCTGAGTCAGCGTTCTGCCTTCCCAGGGCTGGGTGTCTGTCGACAGGGCGGGAGCCAGGAGAGGTGTGTGCCTTGGTCCCCTTCCCGCCTGGCTCAGGAGCCTCCCAGGTGTCTGGGAAGCACTGGGCTCTTCACATTCCTGCCGGGGGTGGTCGGTGCTTTGGGGAGGCTGCATTGGCCCCTCAGGATCGAGGGATCCAGCCGGGCTGGGAGTGGGGTTGGAGCAGCTCCAGCCTTCCATGTGAAGAGAACCATCTCGTTAGAGGCCCCAGGGCGGGCCCCACCCAGAGCTCTGCTTGGGTGGAGGAGCTTCCCAGAGTGGGGAGTATGTGTGGTGGGTAGGGAGGCCTGGGTAGAAAGGCAGCCTGGGGCCAGTCTGCGGACTGGAGCAGGCCAGGGTCCAGCAGAATAAGGGGCTGGCGGCCCTGGCGGGGGCTGGGGCTGGAAGGGCCTCGGGGAGCTCGGTGGTGAGGCTGAGCCTAGTCGTCCCAGGAAGGTGTGGCGTTTAGAGCAGCATCTGGGAACCAGGGACCCTGGGCTCTGCCTCAGTTTCTCGTCTGTGAATGGAGAGGGGCAGACCCTCTTCTGAGGGCCCTTTGTTCCCAGTCGCCACTGGACAGGTGGCGGGACAGCTGTGCGGAGGCGGCTGTCGGGCGGGCTGGCTGGGGCAACAGCTGGACCCGGAGCGCCCAGCCCCCCAGCCCACCTGTGCCCCTTTCAGGGAGTGGGGCGGGGCCTCCGGGAAGGGGACGGGCTGCGGGCGCTTGGCCTGACCCCCACCTCCTGGTGGCCAGACACCCCTCCCGCTTCCTCTCCTCCCTCCTCCCTTCCCCCTCCTCTCCCTCCCCTCCCTCCCTCTCCCCGGCTCTCCCTCCCTCTCCTCCTCCCTCCCTCATTTCCTGTTCCTCCCTTACTTCTGTCCTTTCTGTTGTCTGGCCCCTTCTTCCCCCTCCCCGCTCCTTGCTTCTCCCTCTGCCCCTCCCGCTTCTCTTCTCCACTGCGCCCCAGCCTCCAGCCTTGGCACTTGGGGACTAGGGGTTGGTTGGGGGCTGAGCCCTTCTCAACCTCAGGACGGCCCTTCCTCTTTGGCTCAGCCCCTCCTCCCTCCCGGAGGGTCTTGGCGGGTGCCTGCGTCGGTGGGAGGTGCCTCTGCGTTCCCTCCGTGGAAGAGATGCTCGATCTCTCTGCCCTAGGCCTAGGCGGAAGGAGGCAGGGCAGACAAAGCTAGGGAGGAGGAGGAGGAAGGAGGAAGGCTGCCAGGTCATCTTTCTGGCAGGCTCAGGCGGAGGAAAGGCCGGCGGTCCCAGGAGGCCTCGGCCAGGGCGGAGACGCCTGGGCTGGAAGTCCAGGAGAGCAGGCCCAGGGGCCAGAGTCCGGGCTGGAGTGACTGCGGTGGCCTCATCCCCATTTCGGAGAGGCGGAGGTTGAGGCTGAGGGCGGATCCAGGGGCCTTTGTGTTTGAGGAGAATGCAGCTGGGGTGGGCCGGCCCTGTGCCAATTGCCGGGTTGCTGTGGTTACCGGGGGATGCCCAGAGCTGTGGGAGCTCCAGGTTTTCTCTCCACCCCCTTCCTTCCCCAGGGGGAGGGGCAGCGGGTACCGAGGCACGTGCCAGGTAAGTTCCTGGCACCAGCCAATGGGTGCTGAGGATTGTGGTAGCCAGGGAACAGTAACCAAGGAACCGTCGCCTTGGAATCTCCATCGCACACCGCTCTGCTGGGTTGTAGGCTGGCAGGGCCAGGCCTGGCCAGGAGCGACGTGCTGAGCTGGACCAGGCAGCCAGTTCTCCCCTCTGCCTGCCTTCCCGGCTCCCTACCTGGCCCGGACCTCCTGCTGCCTCCCAGTTGGCGCCCTCCTGGCCGCCAACCTGAAATGGTGCCTGGCTCTGTTGTCATGGTGACAGCAGGAGCCCTCCCCACTCCTGTCCTGCCCCGTCCTTGTCCCTCTCCCTCCCCAGAGTTGTCCCCACACAGAATTGATGGCCTGGGCCCAGGCAGTTTGACAAGGCACCCCGCCCTCTCCCCAGGGCTCTGTACACATATGAGGATGGCTCTGATGACCTCAAGCTTGCAGCCTCCGGAGGTAAGAATTCCAGCCATTCCTTCGCCCCCTCTCTGGTTGTTTTCTTCCCCACCCGCCTGGCTCAGGGCCACCTTCCCTCTTGGATCCAGCAGACCCACACTTGTCTGGAGGGCGTCCTTCCTCGGGTCAGCCCTGCGGGTCCCTGGAGTGAGGAGGGAGGGAGCCTTGTTGCCCGTCTGACTTCTCAGAAGACTGAGCTTCAGACAGGGACCCTGACTCACTCCGCATGGTGCAACTGGGGGGAAGGGGCCTAGCAGGGATCAGCCCCACTTTCCCCAGAGTGGAAGGCTTTTTTTAACCTCTGGGCATCAGTACCTGGTGAGACAGGAGGACGCGTGAAGTGTGAAGGGGGGAGTCTCAACGAGAAAACGGTCCCTTTTCTACCCAAATCTGGATGGGAGGCCCCCACCCCCACATGACCCAATGCACAGTCCTGGGCCTCCAGACCTCAGGACAGAAGGACCCCGGGCACCTTCGAAGTCCACAGAAGTCTGGGGGGGGCGGCTAGGCCCTTCGGTGGTGGGGGCAGGCGATGCAGGTTCTTGACACTCCCTTGATTTCCCAGAAGGGGGCTTGCAGGAGCTTTCGGGCCACTTTGAGAACCAGAAGGTCATGTATGGCTTCTGCAGCGTCAAGGACTCTCAGGCTGCCCTGCCAAAATACGTGCTCATCAACTGGGTATGCGGCTGTGGGCTGGGGAGGGGAGCCCGGGACCCAGAGCAGCACCCCCCGCCCCCGCCAGCGTCCTCTGACACCGCAGGGAGAGAGAATCCCGCTAGCCGGG